ATAAAGAGCAACACTAAAAAAGGGGGGAATTCCTGACATGAAGCAATCAGGGCCAGTTAACCGCTCCCAACAAAGGATTCCTGGGCAGCAACTAGCTCGGCTTCGAAGCTGCAAGGCCATTAAATACTCATCAAGATGACCAATTGCAACATTCACACTTACCTCAAGCAGACAAGAGTTCTTTCTCCCACCCTGGACATTCCACAAATATATAAACCCCACTTGCCTAGTTTCCAACAGACCTCACAACCTCTGAGGATGCCTGCCATAGATGTGAGTGAAACCTCAGGAGAGAATGCTTCACAGCACCAAAGATCATTCTGAACTCCACCAACAATAGAATTGAACCAAACTTGGCATACAGGACTTCCATGACTAACAGAAAATACTTGAGAGGGGGTTGGGAAAAATAGACCCTGACATTTGGGAATTGCAGTTTACCAAGCACCAAGAACATTCTGAGCTCCACCAACAATAGAATTGAACCAAACTTGGCATACAGGACTTCCATGACTAACAGAAAATACTGGAGAGGGGTTGGGAAAAATGACCCTGACATTTGGGAATTGCAGTTTACCAAGCACCAAAGAACATTCTGAGCTCCACCAACAATAGAATTGAACCAAACTTGGCATACAGGACTTCCATGACTAACAGAAAATACTGGAGAGGGGGTTGGGAAAAATAGACCCTGACATTTGGGAATTGCAGTTTACCAAGCACCAAAGAACATTCTGAGCTCCACCAACAATAGAATTGAACCAAACTTGGCATACAGGACTTCCATGACTAACAGTAAATACTGGAGAGGGGGTTGGGAAAAATAGACCCTGACATTTGGGAATTGCAGTTTACCAAGCACCAAAGAACATTCTGAGCTCCACCAACAATATAATTGAACCAAACTTGGCATATAGGACTTCCATTACCAAATACTAGAGCGGTTTGGGGGAGGCATGTACAAAAGATGACATTTGCAGTACCTTTTGAGGAGGCCTCCTTGCTGCCCTGAGAGGGGTCCAGGCTCAGCTGCAGGAAGGAAAGGGAAAGCGAAAGAGCCTGGCTGGCTGCCTCCTGGCAGCACGTGGAGGGAGGACTTCCCTCTCGCCTAGTGGGCGGGGCCTGCGCTTCTCCATTAGAAGGCTGTTGAGGGCGCATGGGGCCTGCAGGAGGAGGCGTGGCCTAAGGACAAAACAGTGCCCCCTGGCAAAAAAAGTATTCCGCCACCGCTTACTTCGAGTAATGGACGGGCCGGCCCTGCTGGTGATGAACTACTAATGATCTTTTGATGGTCTGTGACCACACAATACAGTATACATCCTGCTTTCCCCATTATCTGTCACCATGGGCTGTTACCATTGACCAGGATGAGATGGGAATTTGAGTTGAACAACATCTGGCATATCAAATATTCCACACACCAAGTGCATTTGTGACAACAGTAAAATATGTGAATTTGATTAAACATATCTCTTTTTGTCTGGGAACAATACTTCTTGTGACAGATGGGTTAAATATACTCCCCATGCACTGCCGTCCTGCTCCTTCCATATGCCTCAGAGATATATTATTGGTTGAAGGAAAAGACAGATTCATTAAATGCATTCATGCATTTAATGTCATGTCTCTTTTAACTCTGAGCACCCACCAGCAGAAATTAGCAAAGTATGACTGTTACAGAATTTTCTGTCTTTTCTTTTACTTAAGGAAAAAAAAGGTCTTGCTTCTGTAGCCAAATCCTAAATTTCTATATAGCAAAGGTTTAATTATCAAATAGAAATCACATTCTTTAGATTTCTTTCAAAAGCTAAACTATTAGTTGCAACACACTTTTGAAAATCTGCATTCTGAAAAAGTAACAGATATATTCCAATTGAATAGAACATTTCTCTTAACTGCCTTTTACCTGATATAGCAAACTCATATGCTTTTCAGCTAGTCATGTTAATAGCCCATTTAAAAACCATTTCGATTCTGTAATAATTATATTCTGTAATAAAAAGAGACACTATTTCCTGTGTGCTATTATTCGGCACTATATCATTGTATACTTAATGTAAGTTGTGCTGCAGTAGAGTTTGGGATTTGTTGAACTATAAGTTCCAACCTGTATTATACAGACAGCATATAATTATCCTCTTTATGGTATCAGCTGCCTCCTTCTGATATACTTGGATTTTTCACTTACTTGCCACATATAAAAGCTACCTGCTCGTGGTCTTGCAATACTCACTAAATCTGTTGCCAAAGTCTTCATTCATTTCTTTTAAAATGTCAAAACCCTGTTATATAAGATCTTGAAATCATTTTCCCTCAAGGCTGCTGTTTTAAATTCATTAGTAAAAACAGCATGAGAACGCCATATATTCCCATTAATCTTGTATCTGCACTTATTAGACCATTAGCCTTTAAAGCTTACTTTTTGATTTCTCCCTTTCTTTTATTCTTCTATTAGTCGGATAATGACCTTTCGGAACTCTGAAATTCTGTTAATAACTTTTCAAACTACGCATGAAACCGGTTTACTCCGAAATTCTTGATTAGGTGAAAAATTGAATAGTGTGTCTAGAAGCTTTCGTGCATACCACTTCATCTGAACCAAACATTTCCACATGTCCTTGTATGTCAAAGCATTGTGAATCAGAAGAAAATCTATTCTTTTTTTGACTTCAGCTCCCAGACGTCATTGGCCATGGTACTTGCGAAATTCGGGGAGCTTCAGTCCAAAAAAAAGAACATTTCCAAGCTATTTTTGAAAGGATTTATTTCCTTGCATAATGCCATATTTTGACTGATTGCTCTCCTCTCAAACAATTAATATGAACACTCTTTGTACTTATTTCAGGATTGTTCATATTCCCTTTTTGACCCATGCCCGACTATCCTTGACACCACTAGTGGGCTTTTTTGTGAGTCAGTGTTTACATGCCACCTGCTACCAAATCTTACATATTAAAAGCTGGAACTGACATACATTTGAGGATAGAAAACAAATACTGCCATACCTTGGTTAACAAAGCTTCTTAAAGTGATGTTTTTTTTTACAATTTCTTATCCTCTGGAAATTGGATTTTTAATAATTGGAATTGGGAAAATTGATGAAGTAGGACTGGAGAAATGTAGACTTCAGGTACTGGGTTTTAGCATTATCCCTGCAATAAAGCTTGAGCTGTGAAAAGGTGGGATTCTAGTCAGTCCTATTGCAGCCATGTTCCTGTATACAAGAGGCAAGGTAAATAGCAGCTGCCTCCTTTACTAGGTATCTGGAAAAAGCAAAAAGAGAGGGGGAGGGAGAGAAAATAAGAGAACATAAGGGAGTGCCTCACATATAGAACTATAAGTTTGGCTCCTGGAATGAAAATTGTAAAGAACGTGGTGACTTGCTAGAGTGTTAAGATCTTTTGCGGGGGCCCTGCTCTCAGTCCCACCTCCTTCACTGGCACTTTTGCTGGGGATGAGAGACAGGACCTTCTCAGTGGTGCCCCCTCAGTTATGGAACTCCCTCCCTAGTGAGATCAGACTGGCCTCCTCCCTCCTGGTTTTTAGAAAACAGGTGAAAACCTGGCTATGCAACCAAGTGTTTGGGTAGTGCAACACAGATTTAGCAACACAAATAATGACTGTCGGAATAGGTATCATGTTTTAAGAGTTTTATAGCATTTATATGTTTTTATCTGTTTTATTTTTTATGTAATACATTGCTTGTATATGGTTGAATTTGTGGCATCGAATTGTGCCAAAATGTAAGCTGCTCTGAGTCCCTTTTAGGGTGAGAAGAGCCGGATAGAAATAAAGTAAATAAATAAATAATAAATTGTGAAAGAAAAAGTTGGATATTTTGAAGGAAACCTTTAGATGATCTCTTGAAGATTGAAATTATTTTTAATTTATTCAAGGCTTCCTTGACCTGAGTTCTTAATTTCTGATATGTATTATTAGTTTTGGATTTTTAAAAAACGTTGAAACACAATGAACCACACTTTTTCTTGTGGAAGAACCTATCCATGCCCTTTTCACATTAAGCTATCCACACTCTTTTGACATTTTTGGTATCAGATTTCCTGTTAAAGAAGTAATGACGAGAAACATATCTACAGTAGAGTCTTGCTTATCCAACCTTTGCTCATCCAACATTCTGTATTATCCAGCTCAGTCTGCCTCCTGCCTGGATCCACAGCTGTTTCAATATATTGCAATGTTTTGGTGCTAAATTTGTAAATACAGTAATTATTACATAATGTTGCCATGTATTGAACTGCTTTTACTGTCAGTTTGTTGTAAAACATGATGTTCTGTAAAATCATAACATAATTTGATGTTTAATAGGCTTTTCCTTAATCCGTCCTTATTAGCCAACATTTTCGCTTATCCAACGTTCTGCCGGCCAGTTTATGTTGGATAAGCGAGACTCTATTGTACTTTATTAACCACATTCAAACATATTATGTAATCCTTTCTATTTGCTTTGAGATGTAGATGTTTAGTATGGCTACAGACCCATTATTGGCTAGAAAAGACATTTGTGGAGTGGGCAGGAAGGGAAGTGACTAAAACTTGCATTCTGAAATATTCATGCTACTGTTGCAACTGTAGGCAGAATGACTTCATACATTTTATCAATATTGTTGCATAGGAAAGTGGGGGACCCATAGTAAAGAAGTTCTAGTAACAAGGCTTCTCTGACACTACTTGAAATTTACACAAAACTATTGATAGCCAGAAGTCTCTTTAATGGTTCAGCTGCATGAGCTGTCTTCTGCATCCTTCTTGGATCTTGTGTTCAACTGTACAAAAGAGAACAGCATCAAATTCATAATTTGGAAAAGTTACTCCATTGGATCCATCTCCCAGAATCCTGCCCTGGCCACTAGCCATGCTGGCCCAGGGATTCTGGAGATACATAATCCAAAAATAACTTTCTCCAAACTTTGATTGGCTGTACAGTCTATGCTTATGGGTTTTTTAAAAATGCAGTGAAACATATGCTGCATATTTTTCAGGGAGCTCTGGAACATGAAGAAAGTAAAACATTACGTTTTCAACTGGAGCTTTCCCAAATGAAAGCAGATTTTGAAAGGAAACTGGCAGAAAAAGAAGAGGAAATTGAAAACTTCAGGTATAGTGTCTTCACAAAAGGGTTCATTCAAATAGTTGCATCCAGGTGGTTCACTACATTTGGCTACAAGGAGCACCTTTTTGGCTTCCCGTTCTCAACTCAAAGTCCTGGTTACGGTCTTTCAAATCCTATATGGCTCTGGTCCAAGTCATCTGAAGGACCATATCTTCTCATATGAGCCTGCTCATAATTTGAGATCTGCTGCAGAGGGCATTTTCTCTGTCCCACCACCTTCACAGGTACATTTGGTGGGAACAGCAAATGCAGCCTTTTCAGTGGCTTCTTTCAGGACCTGGAACTCTCTTCTGAGAGAGTTTAGACTTGCACCTTCCTTGCTATGTTTCCATTTTTGTATTAAGACTTTTATTATTATTTTGGCAGGCTGACTGCTTAAGGAGACTGGGCCTTGCTGGATTGTGCTGTACTGTCTATCAGTGTTTTGTTTATTTGTTGTTCTTAAAAGGCTTTTAAACCTGTTTTCATTATAGTAACTTTAATAATACTTTAAACTTTTGTATGCGGTATATTTTTAGCTCTGACTCTTTTATCTGTTGTAAGTCACCTTGCATCCCCAAGTAGCAAAAATATTTGATTTAAGTGATAGGGATAATTATAATAATTTATCAAGCCATTATTTACACAAAAAAATGTGACAAAAGAGACAAGGGTTGGCAGCAGATAAAATTCCTAGTTTTGAGTTTACATTGGGTTGGATTTAGAGTAAGTTAACTGAATTTACTTTCCATTTTTATCAGTGCATTTGCCCCTTGGGTTTCAACAAGATGTTAACTTCAACTAATGCAATCCAACCCATCCTTTTAAAACAGTCGGCATAAATGATCTGTGCTTCTTAACCGTCTTCAAGATTTCTCATACTAGAACTGCCAAATAAAATCTTATGTAGAAGAGGGCAATTTACTTCTGCTTATGAATCTGTTTTGCCATCTGTACATGCTGTCTTAATTTGCAAAAATGTTGTTAAGACTGATCGATAATTACTGTCTGCACAATATGTTGACAAAAGGCATTAATAAACAAGAGGAAATAAACAAGAAAAATACCAAAATTTCCCTTTCTCTTTTGACAACAGTGTTCTAGGGAACAGATTCCAAATGATTTGATTTTACAGTGAGGATATTATTATAGTGGACCATATTTACGGTTTGAACTTTTTCGGATTTCACTATACATAGAGTTGGTTCATATGTTCTTTCTTACAGTCTGGGTCCTCAGGCACAACTCTTTGGTGGACTCTTGTAGAACCGCAAAGTTGACCATAGCACTGTGCTGAAGGAACTAGAGATTCTGAGAGAAAACAATTCTCTAGACATTTTTAGATCCTCTGGTGTGATTCTGTAGCCAGCTTCTAGTGGATGTTGATCACAGAATTAGACTGGAAGATCTAGAGATGCCTAGAAAAGTGTTCCTTTGGATTAAAAAAAGTGTATGGGGGTTGTTTGTGCTTTTTCCACTTTCACTGGTATTATACACACCCCTAACCCCTGTGCAAATGAAGGAACTACTGTAGTAGTAAACATGTTACAATAAGAACTTTGAGATGCAAAAGAAATCAGTTAAAAGGTAGGCCATGTTCAATAAAAAAAGAGTTTGAAAAAGTTATGTTTACAATCCAGAATACATTTTCTAAAATTTGGAAATTAGGAGAACAAACCCCTATCCCAATATTGTTTATGTGGTTTTTGAAAATCAGGAGAAACCAACAGCGTACCATAGACACATTGCAATCTACCCTGGATTCGGAAGCTAAGAGCAGGAATGAGGCCATTCGCCTGAAGAAAAAAATGGAAGGAGACCTCAATGAAATGGAAATCCAACTTAGCCATGCTAACCGACATGCTTCTGAAGCAACAAAGACCACACGTATCCTTCAGGCTCAAGTAAAGGTAAACCTCCTCCTGTATTTTTCCCCCTGCGTGTGTCAGGGAGGGGAACAGCTGGATGCCGAGGTCTGCCTTAGAAGATAAGGCAGAAGAGAAAGTGTTATTGCGCTCTACTACATCCCCATGGATATTTCTAAGTCAAATTTGGAAACACCATATGCAAATGAGCATTCCATGTATTTGGATGTTTGGACTATTCAAAAATAGAGTACACCATATATAGACGTCCTACCTAGAAAGCAACTTTTGATTCCTTTGCCATGACAGCAAGATCATCAACTGGCATATATCTTGATGCACTAGGTTCCTAAAAGACAGGAGGAAACTCATCTAAGCAAGACTTCTGTATCCACAGGGAATATGTTCCCAGCCAGACCATGGCTACATGAAACAATGGATTTGACCAAATGCAATTAAATTACCTCACTTCTGGTCCCAACATACCATAAAGTCTTGGTGATGACTTTATGGTGATAAATATTCTCTCTAGGAATTTGTTTGGTCCTAGGGCAACTCTACCATACTTGAATCCTAGAATCACCTGGAGGATCTAGCAATTTGCTAAAGAAATTTTCCCCCTGGGCACATGCAAGTGGAACTCCTGATAGGAGATCAGCAGGTATAGAGTCTTACTGTAGAGGTTGCCCTTTTTTTTAGTGCTGAGGTCTTTTTTCTCTCTTCATGGTTCACATGTAGACCAATTTTGAAGACCTCTTTCTCAAATGATGTGATGGTGTAATTCTCAATCCATCTACACCCACCACAGTGTGTACTAGAAATATTGGGTTACAGTTACTACCAACTCAGCTGACACACCAGATGGGGAAGATAAGAGTTGTGGTCCAGCAGATGTAGAGGGCCTCAGGACAATGCTCTGCACCAGGGGTCCTCAAGCTTTTTATGCAGAGGGCTGGTTCACAGTCCCTCAGACCATTGTGGGAGAGGGAGTGAATTATAGTTTGAAAAAAAAGTATGATTTCCTATGCATATTGCATATATTATTTGTAGTGCAAAAAACATGAAAGAACAATACAATATTTAAAATGAAGCAGAAAGGACTGCCTCACATAAACCCCTAGTATGTTCACATATAGAACTATACATTTGACTACCAGAATGATAATAGTAAGGAAAATGGTGACTTGCTAGATCGTTAAGATCTTCTGGGAAGGCCCTGCTCTCGGTCCCACCCCGTTCGCAGGCATGAATATAAACTTATAGTATTTCCATGGAAAGTGTGGACCTCAGCTTTTGGCTGATGAGATAGTCAAGTTAATTAGGATTGTTGTTGTGTGCCTTTAGGATGGGGGCTGGGTAAGTGACCTTGGAGATCCACATCTATTCAACGGGCCTTAGTTTGGGGACCCCTGATCTACACAATAAGAGCACCACGCTGGAGTGATTTATTTCTTTTCAGGATCTTCAAGTACAGCTTGATGATGTTACTCACATGAATGAAGACTTCAAGGAGCAACTGGCTGTCTCTGACCGGCGGAACACTCTCCTCCAGTCTGAGCTGGATGAGCTGCGAGCCCTCCTGGACCAGACAGAACGTGGCCGCAAACTGGCTGAGCAAGAGTTGCTGGAAGCCACAGAACGTGTCAACCTTCTCCACACTCAGGTTGAATCTCAAATAGATTTTGCAGACTTCCCCTACCCCCACATCCAGACATCACTTAGAACAGTCGTTGAGGATAATGCAGATTTTGGACAAAATGTGGCCTCATTAGCAAGCAAGCTTGTGCAAAGGTTGTTCATTCCCCAGGGAAGGAAGAAATTAAATTGCATATTACATGGTGAGCAATAATTTTAACATGTTTGTAGTTCTCTGGCCTCTAGATAAAAGAAAATTGGCTTTGAACTACACTTCGGTGACCTGTACCACCTCTTAAAATGCCTTTGACTGTGCTTAAGATAATATTTACTCCACAAGAAAATTGTTTTTTCCTCCTGTCGTGCTCTCTTTCCATCTAAATGATCTCCTTTACTTTTCCATTGCTCCCCCCTCCCCTTATCTCATATTCTTTTACAAGGACATAAAAGAATTATGCATTTCATTTCATTACAGGAATGTAATGTCCTGTTGCTTCTATGAGTTCAGGGCAGCAAAACAACAAATTCCTTGGTGAGGGCATGACCCGACCACATAGTAAACATTTAATGTCATAATGTTTCCACTGGAGAATGTTAATGGAGTTTTCTTCAGTGGAACAAATAAGACTTATGGAATACTTAAGTGCTTGATCGCTTTCTGTGTTATTTTACTATTCACAGTTTGGCATAAAATCATCATCCCAGTATTGACATTGTACTTAATTGTACAACAGAGTGGGCTGCATAGCAAATGTATAAGTCTGTTGTTTTGATGAGGGCAACTTCAAGATGTCATTTTTGTAAACTGTTTTGGATTGCCTAAAATGTAAAATACTACTTTGTTTTTCTCACTAGAGAAAGAGCAAAATGCTGTGAAATCATTGAGTCCGTTTTTTCCAAAAGCAAAATACACTCTTAGCTGTACACTGAATTATTGTTTTTTACATGTGATCTAGATCCTCAGAAGTAGATTCTGCCTGGAAGCATCAGCTGAGCCCCAAAGCCATTTGCTGCCTGAAAAAGAGCAGCAAATGGCAACTCCCACACATCGCGGTCAAAGGGCATAGTAGCAAATCAACCAAGTTATGCTGAAACATGAGGCTGAACATCCCACAAGCACTGGCAGCAAAATAACAAATCGCTATCCATTTGCCAATTTTTAAAACACTCCAGATCTGCTGCCTGGGATGCCTTCCTCACTCCTAATGATAGAGTCAACCCTGTCTCATTGATCTTAATAGCCTCTTCTAAATTCCGATGGGACTAAATCTAAAGACAGGATAGAAATAAAGTAAATAAATAAATACACAAATAATGGAGGGGGAGTAACAAAAGTGTATTTTCCGTGTCTGGAGAAACTTGAGAAACTGCAGGTCGCTTATGGTGTGAGAGAATTGGCTGTCTGCAAGGACAACCCCGGGGGAATGCCTGGATGTTTTACCTTCCTGAGGGAGGCTTCTCTCACGTTCCCCATGAGGAGCTGGAGCTGACAGATAGGAGCTCACCCTGCTCCCCAGATTCAAACTGCTGACCTTTCAGTTAGCAGATCTGCTGGCACAAAGATTTAACCCATCGCACAAAGATTTAACCCATTGCACCACTGGGGGATCCAACAAATTGATGTCCTAAAGGAACTGGAAAAAAACAAACCCTAATTTAAATCACATGTTCTCACCACCACCGCTTGGAGGGGGGGGGAGTATACTAGTGCACCTTAATACACAAAGGAAAGGGGATAAGGATGGGAAGAGGGAGAAATTAAGTTAACCATTTATTATTTGGGCCACTTTGGGTTCTATATTGGGAGAAAAAATAAAGTGCCATTTCAATGCTAGTAACGTGCAGCAGGTGGGGGGCTGAGGTGGCGCAGTGGATTATACCACTGAAATGCAGAACTTGTTGGCCGAAAGGTTGCCAGCTTGAGGGGTGAGCTCCCACTGTTAGGCCCAGCTTCTGCCAACCTCGTAGTTCAAAAACATGCAAATATGAGTAGATCAATAGGTCTCAGGCGGGAAAGTAATGGCACTCCATACAGTCATGCCAGCCACATGACCCAGGAGGCGTCTACAGACAACACCGGCTCTTTGCCTTAGAAATGAAGATGAGCACCACCCCCCGGAGTTGAATTTGACTAGACTTAATGTCAAGGAGAAACCTTTACCTTTTAATGTGCAGCATTAAGTCCAAACCACCTTGAAGCCATTGTCTTTCTTTTCTCCTTAAAAGCAGAATGCTTCATTCCACTTGTGATCGCAATTGGATTTAGGTCTAATTTTGTTCACTATTTAGGAAATAGCCAAGAATGATCACATGGTCTGTGTATATAAGCATTGGAACCATTGCTTTTTGGGAGTTGTAGCTCCCAAAGTAGCCAATAGCTAACATATGCTGGGAGCTGCAATCCAAAAAAGGCTAATTTACCAAATTTTGCCCATGAAATAGAGCTCAGTCAGTGCTGTGCATCATCAGCACTAGCCCCAGGAAGAGATAAAGATGATCTTATATTCCTGATGAATGACGACTCTTTTCTCCTTTTTCCTTCCAAATCAAGAATACAAGCTTGATCAGTCAGAAAAAGAAGCTAGAGAGCGATATCTCTCAAATGCAAAATGAAGTTGAAGAAGCCATTCAGGAGTGCAGGAATGCTGAAGAAAAAGCCAAGAAAGCAATCACTGATGTAAGTTGGATACCACTCTTGCGTGTGCCTATTCTAATCTTTTTTTAAACTGTTAATCATTTCTGAATCAGGGTTTATGAACATTAATTTATTTCCATATACAGTACTAGGATGTTTTTCTTCTCCCAGTATAATAGATTTTAGAACTCTGCCATCATTCAGAAGGATGTATGACATTCTGAAGAATGAAATCTACAATATCTCTTTAGGAATCTTCTTGCAGATTGGTTATCATTAACGTTGAAAAACCTGCGGTGTAGTAGGTGGAATTAATGAAATGCAGTCTTCAAAAACGGAGAGGAATGGATGTCTCCCTGAAACCTAGAATTAAAATTATGAAATGTAAGGTATTTTCTATTGTTCACTTTAGCGTCTCTTTCTATTTTACATAGAAGACGGTTCAGGTCCATCTCCCTACATGAGCCCCTCCCTGCCTGCCTTTAACATGCTTAGCGGAGGACTGCTTTCAGTTCCAGCAGCTTACCTGCCCAAACATATCTCTCCTTATGAACCATCTAAGACTCTAAGATCATCTGGGGAGGCCCTGCTCTCAGTCCTACCTCCTTCGCAGATGTGTTTGGTGGGGACGAGAGACAGGGCCTTCTCAGTGGTGGCCACTGGGCTGTGGAACGCCCTGCCCAGGTATATAAGATCAGCCCCCTCCCTTTTGACATTCTGTAAAAGGGTCAAAACCTGGCTCTTCATAAAGATAAATTTGAACAACTTAAAAGATAAATTTGAAACTACCGGATGACTGGACAATGCAATTGGAAAATGATTTTTGTAAGGAGATGCTGATGATTATGTTTTATTGTTTTATATTATATGCTAAATGTTTTAATTGCATTTTATAATTGTTGAGGCATCAAATTGTTGCCGACAGTGAACAGCCTTGAGTCGCCATTGGGCTGAGGAAGGCAGAATACAAATGTGGCAAATAAATAAATAAATAACCCTTATTTATTATTTATTTATTTCCTATATTTATATCCCACCCTTCTCACTCCCGAGGGGGGGACTCAGGGCGGCCTCACCAACACCATACAGTGTCATCATAATAAAACACTCAACAATACATTAAAATATTAAAACAATAATTAAAACAATTTATTAACACACACCTATTAAAATCTAGGCGCATTTGATAGATCAAGGAGAGAGGGTATTTTTGGTAGCTTATTCCAAACATTGAAACCCAGGGCGCTTCCAGACAGCCCCAAATCACAGGTTTTAGTCAGAGGCAAAAAAAAAAACCTGAGACAGGAAAAGAGGTCCACATACAGACCTGTTGGTTCTGGGATTTCTGCCTCCATCGACCCCACTTTCTGCTTTGTTACGGAATTTTGCAGGTCCCTATATGGCCACCATGGGATGCCCAGTGGAAATGTTGGCGGTTTTTAAAATAAGAAACTTAATATGTGAATATGCTAATCATTGCATAAGTTCAGTACCTTGGTTATAGAAGCTGTGTGGCCATCTGTGCCGACAAGTTTGACCTTGTACTTGTGCCTGGGAACTACCGGGGGGGGGGGGGGCGTTCCTGGGTTATACGTGTCTGCTCCTGATTGCTGTTATTGTGAAAAGTTGTACAATGTTGACTACAGGGTGACAACTTTATCCTGACTAGAGAAACTTTGCCATTTACATGTTTAATTAGGTTTCTGACATGCAAACAAAGTTTATGGAGCAGGACCACTACTTTTGAAAGCAGTACTACACAATCAAACAAGAACACACACTTTCAAGCCAGGAACTGAACTTAGTCATTTTTACCACTTTTCAGAGGCTGCCTGGCCATTTGTGCAGACAGGTTTTGTAGTGTACTTGTGGCATGGAACAACAGGGTGATGATTCTGGGTTATACATGTCTGATGAAGTTTCTCTTGCCAGGATAAAGTTGCTATTTTGTTGTTTTTGGGGAGAATATATAAGTAGTTTTAATGCCATAGATTGATTGTTTGATTAAAATAGCTAGCAAGGGTGGGAAAACTACTACAAGTGAATAAGGAGGAGATTATTAGAATTTAGGTCATGACTGGGTCACATGGGGTCCTAAACCTAAGGAAAGAAGGGCAGGTAGAAAGAGAAATTTGATGGGCTTGCCTAATTTAGGCTTACTGCTGACTTTAGCTCCTAACCGGTTATCATAATGCCCTCAGTGGAAAAGAAAGGCTTTCCTGCCCCTGATTTAGTAACATCATTAATATGCATAATATAGTGACCTGCTATTAGTGGTGTGTTCACTTCGGGGAGGTTTGCCTAGCATCCAACTTGCTGTCCTTTCAGTACCAGGCTAAGACTTAGTTCTCTCGGGGCATTTAAGTCTTATTAAATTAATTTCTTTCAATTAAATTAGTGGTTTTATCTCCTGCTGGTTGATTATGTTTTTTAAAAAGTGCCCCTGAAAGCTCCATTGTACTGACTTCATGCAGTTGGGTTTTTTTGTGCTCAGTTGGGTTCTTTTACAAGATCTGTTATGCCATTTTTTGAAAATATTATTTTAATTATTTTTGTATGATATTAAGGAATTTGTTTTATAGACATCAAACAAATAAGCAGTGTTGTTAAATAAAGCTGTAGCTGGCAATGCTTTGAATCTATCCATGTATTTCATAGTCTTGTTTTGTGTCCCGGCTTTCGGTGGGGGCCTCAATCCATTTTTTCGGAGCCTCCCGAAATCGGGAGGGCAGATATCAATTTTTGCTTTTTGATGCTGAAATATCCATTTTCTTTGGCCCGTTATTGGGGTGGGGGACTTCCCACCCAGGCTCTCCTTCCCAGTAAGTGCTTTAAGGAGACTTTTTGTTGGGGTTTGTCTCACCTTCATCTGGGGAGTCAAGGAGCTTCCTGGCTGGGACTGAAGACAGCCCTGAGACAGAGATAGAGGAGAGAAGAGGGATTGTGTTCAGGGTGAAAAACTATTATTTATTTATTTATTTACTTCATTTGTATACCGTACTTCTCAGCCCTAGGGCGACTCAGTGCGGTTAACAACAAACAATACAATGTACACAATAGCAATCACTAGACATTTAAAAACAGTAACATAGCAGTTAATTAAACAGCAAACATCAATACATCAACAATAGAACCATCACGTCTCATCAATGAAATCAAAGTCTAGTACATTATCCAGTATTCCGTTCCAATAATCTATTGCACTCAATTACGCTGATTGGTTGAATGCCTGTTTGAAGAGCCAGGTCTTCACACTCTTCCGGAATGCCAGTAAGGAGGGGCCCGATCTGATATCTGTGGGAAGGGCGTTCCACAGCCGAGGGGCCACCACCGAGAAGGCCCTGTCTCTCGTCCCCGCCAGGCGTACTTGTGAAGCCGGCGGGACCGAGAGCAGGGCCTCCCCAGATGATCTTAATGTCCTAACTGGTTCATAGGAGGAGATGCGTTCAGACAGGTAGGTCGGGCCAGAACCGTTTAGGGCTTTAAAGGCTAAAGCCAACACTTTGAATTGTGCCCGGTAGCAAATTGGCAGCCAGTGGAGCTGGCACAACAGAGGAGTAGTATGCTCCCTGAGTGCCGCTCCTGTTAGCATTCTGGCTGCCGAGCACTGGACCATTTGAAGCTTCCGAGCAGTCTTCAGAGGCAACCCCACGTAGAGAGCGTTGCAGTAATCTATACGGGAAGTAACCAGTGCGTGGACTATCGTGGCCAAGTCAGATTTCCCAAGGTACGGGCGCAGCTGGCGCACAAGTTTTAGCTGTGCGAATGCTCCCCTGGTCACCGCTGAGACCTGGGGTTCCAGGCTCAACGATTAATCCAAGATCACACCCAAGCTGCGAACCTGCGTCAGTTCCACCACCATTTCTCTCTGCTATTTCTGTCTTCAGTTGGGAAACCTACCTTGCTCTGCTGCTGAGATCTCTTCAATGGAGTTAGGAGTGGACCCACTGCGGTGCTGGGATGTGCCATGTTTACTGGGGGCTTGCCAGGGTTTGCTCTCCATTGCGTTTGCTGGCAGCCTTGCCCCGCAACTGTACATGTCCAGAAAGGCACTGACAGGTGTGGGTGCTTTCTGGGTCTGCATGCCATACACTCAAACACTTTCCAAGGAGAGTGCATGTGTTGCGTGCTGGCCCAAAATGCCAATGCCTGCAAGGGCTTGCAGCCGAGCACTGAGTTTGAGGCACTCGCTGCAGGTACTGGCAGGCGTGGGCGCTTTGGGCCTGCACACCTCACACACTCTCTCCTTGGAGTGAAGAGAGAAATGGCAGCAGAGCTATCTAGTCTTCACCCTGAGCACAATCCCTCTCCTCTCCTCTATGACTGTGATGCTAAAAAGCAGACTTGGAGTTAGTACCCGCTCCCATCTGTTTTCGTGTTGAGTTTATTTTTGTACCAGGAGGGGCCTTCCCATTCCATGTCTCTGAATGAACAAAATAAATGAAACAAATAAAATGGGAGAAGCTAATTTCACATATATGACTAGTATTTCATGTTTGTTGAATCATTAAGCCTAATAGATTTCTTGGTGGGTTTTTGGGCATAATTTTGCACTGTTATCTCATTGTAGGCCTCCATGATGGCTGAAGAACTTAAAAAAGAGCAAGATACTAGTGCTCACCTGGAACGAATGAAAAAGAACATGGAGCAGACTATTAAAGATCTGCAAAAGAGACTGGATGAAGCAGAGCAGATTGCTCTCAAAGGGGGCAAGAAGCAGATTCAAAAGCTGGAATCCAGGGTATGTGCTTAAGAGTCCATTGCTATCTCATTGCAAGAATCCAACCTTCTTTGCTGAAAGAAAGAAAAGAAATGTGTTCATATTTTAGGTGGGAGTTTACTTCCAACCAAGATTGTTACGTAACAGGGAATATTGTAAAGGACATTCAATACTGATGCCAAAGGTCTTTTAGTAAATAATGTCGAACCACATTCAGTAGACTTAATTTTTAATATTGAGTTCTTTGAGTTGTTGCTATGAAGCAGAACCACTCTGAAGACAATGCTTCTGCTCTATACATACATTTTGAATGTGCAGGTCCGTGAGCTGGAAAATGAACTAGAGGCAGAAGTTCGTCGTAATTCAGAATCTCTGAAAGGAGTCCGCAAATATGAGAGGCGTATCAAAGAGCTGACTTACCAGGTAATCATAATTAAATAGATCAGCTGCAATATTGTATATTTACTTACCAAATACAGAGGCTAGCCCTGTCACAGAAATAAAGTAGAATTGCAGGAGACTTTGCATATCCATGCCAGTAACTAACAGCCTAAGGATAAATCTCAGCAGCTCCTTTTTCTCTTCTCTCTCTGTCATCCCCCACATTGCCTGAAGTAGCTCTTAGAAGACTGAGATGTCTGGATCAAAGATGCTTCTCTGTTATTGTACAAGTTTTCTCTCATTTTCTGTCTCTCCCTCCTTCTGAGCCCCTCAGTCATGCCAGGAAGCATGGAAGGAAGAAAATGAGAATGTAAGTTTGCAGATAGGAAGCCAAGCATGAAGCTTTCAGTGCAGCCTTGGAGGAGTAGCAAAATCAGCCATTTTTGTTGCCCGGAAAAACCTACAACAACCCTTTGTTGTCTTTGTCGCTACCAGAATATATCGTGCTGATTGCTGAATCTGTACAGACAGCCCTCCTTATCCACAGATTCTATATCCACTGATTCAACCACCCATTACTTGAAAATAATATTTTTAAATTATGAAAAAAATCCTAATTTTTGCCATTTTATATAAGTGGCACAATTTTATTACATCATTGTAGATCATGGAAATGAGCAGCCACCGATTTGGTATCCACAGGGAACCAAATCTCAGTAGTTACTACTGTAATGGTTGATACACAATGGATAATTTAGCTCAGGAGCTGCTACTTGAAGACTCCATTAAACGCAGATAAGTTGACCATTTCCAGTCCTCAACAGTTTATCTAAAGGCCCTTCCACACAGCCCTATATCCCAGGATATCAAGGGAGAAAATCCCACAATATCTGCTTTGAACTGGGATTTTCTGCCTTGATATTCTGAGATATAGGGCTGTGTGGAAGGGCCCTGAGTGATTCCTGTTAGCTCTTTTACTCTTCCTTTAGAGAGTCAAAACCAAACAGCATCCATACTAACTAGTCAGGAAACAGATCAAACATTGGGAGCCCAAGTCTGTTGGGATGACAAGTCCCTACATTCTTTCCAGGTTAAGCCTGAAATCTATATTTAATGGTTGAGTCCCTTAAATGGTTCTATCTATGGGTATCAGTCTCCATAGAGCTATTCTCATCTGCACTATGAGCTTATTAGGTGGTTGCTTAGCAGCAGAGCAGTGCAAGCTATTACCTGTTTAATTACTGCATATAGGGAAGGAAGAACACTACTGCTTGTGTTAATTGCAGGCTTTGTACCGTTTTTTACTTTTTTCCCTTGCCTTTCTGGTGTTCACTGGTGGTTGTGGGACAGGACAGAGTATCCATGCACGGGCCACCCCAAGCACCATGGAAAAAGCAATGGTTGCAAAAGCCATAATGATGATGATGACGATGATGACGATGATGATGATGGGTTGCTGTGAGTTTTCCGAGCTGTATGGCCATGTTCCAGAAGCATTCACTCCTGACGTAATGCCCACATCGATGCCAGGCAACCTCAGATGTTGAGAGATTTGTTGCAAAGTGAGGTTTATATATCTGTGGGATGTCCAGGGTGGGAGAAAGAACTCTTGTCTGCTTGAGGCAAGTCTGAATGTTGCAATTGACCACCCTTGATTAGCATTTAATGGCTTTGCAGCTTCAAGGTGGCCAAATGCAACATTCGCACATGCCTCAAACAGACAAGAGTTCTTTCTCCCAGTCTAGACATTCCACAGATATACAAACCTCACTTGCCTAGTTTCCAACAGACCTCACAACCTCTGAGGATGCCTGCCATAGATGTGGGTGAGACATCAGGAGAGAATGCTTCTGGAACATAGCCATACAGCCTGGATTCCAGCAATAAAAGCCTTCAACAACACAAAATTCTACATTTCCTATGTTAAAATCAATCAATTGTCCATCCTAACATGTCGTTACTGGATGCCTCCCATAATTTTACTTTTTATTCTTTTGATACTCTAAAGGCAGAGGAAGACAAGAAGAACCTGGTAAGGATGCAGGAGCTGACTGATAAGCTGCAGCTTAAAGTGAAAAGCTATAAGCACCAAGCAGAAGAAGCGGTAAGTTGTTACAGTGTAATGAAGATGTGGGGATGTTTGGCCCACTAGGTATTTTGGTCTGTGTTTCCCATCTGTTCCACCCCGCATAGTAAAAGTCTGTAGACGTTACAGTTAAAAAAAACCTTGACATTAGGTCAAGTTGTTTCTGACTCTGCTCATTTCCCTTTCTAAGCCAAAAAGCCAGCATTGTCCATAGATGTCTCCAAGGTCATGTGACCAGCATGACTGCATGGAGCAGTTACCTTCCCGCAGAAGCATCTAGGATAGACTATTGCAATGCACTCTCTGTGGGGTTGCCTTTGAAGACAGTTCGGAAGCTTCATATAGTCCAACGAGAGGCAGCCAGGTTAATAAGTGGAGCAGCAAACAGGGAGCATACAACTCCCACATAATGTCAGCTCCACTGGCTACCAGTTTGCTATGGAGCACAATTCAAAGTGCTGGCTTTGGCCTATAAAGCCCTAAACTTCCCCGGCCTAATTTACCTGTCCGAACATATCTCCCTCTATGAACTATTATAGAGATTAAGATCCTCCAGGGAGGCCCTGTTCTCTATCTCGCCATTGTCACACATGCGATTGGCGGGAATGAGATAGAAGGCCTTCTCAGTGATTGCCCCTCAGCTATGGAATTCTCTTCCTGGTGAGATTAGATCAGCCCCCTACACCCGTCCTTCAGAAAGAAGGTAAAAACTTGGCTATGGGACAAAGCTTTTGGAACAGTGCAATAAAGCGATAATAGGAAACCTTACCATACCACACAATTAGATTCAATGAAGATGATTGAGATAGTTTAAGCATTGCATTTTAATGTTGAGACAAATGTTTTAAAATATTTTTAATGTTTATGTATGCATATAATCTATTTATATCCCAGCATTGAATGTTTGCCGCTAGGAGCCCCCGGTGACGCAGTGGGTTAAACCCCTGTGCCGGCAGGACTGAAGACCGACAGGTCACAGGTTCGAATCCGGGGAGAGGTGGATGAGTTCCCTCTCTCAGCTCCAGCTCCTCATGCGGGGACATGAGAGAAGCCTCCCACAAGGATGATAAAAACATCAAATCATCCAGGCGTCCCCTGGGCAACGTCCTTGCAGACAGCCAATTCTCTCACACCAGGAACAATTTGCAGTCACTCCTGACACAACAAAAAAAAAAAGGTTTGCCGCTTGTATGCTGTGCTCCACCCTCAGTCCCCTTCGGGGTGAGAAGAGAGGAATATAAACGCTTTAAATAAATAAATACCTATTGATCTACTCACATTTGCATGTTTTCTACCTGCTATGTTGGCAGAAGCTGGGGCTAACAGCAGGAGCTCACCCCTCTCCCTGGATTTGAACCACCGACCTTTTGGTCAGCAAGTTCAGCAGCTCAGCAGTTTAACCCACTGCAGCACCAGGTGCTCCTACATGTTTAAGCATATTAAACGTGTAGGAGCATGTTAATTACCTACATGTTTAAGCATATGATTTGAAATATTAAAGGGTAGTTTAAACCAGAATATGGAAAACAGTACAGTACATTCTTAAAAGCCCTCTCTTTGTAGACGCACAAGATTTCGTATGTTTTTAAGTACATCCCTTTCATTCTTTAAAATAATAAAAAGGACTCATGCAAACATGCATTCAATTCATAGTGGGTTTCTTGGACTATTTTTAAATCTATACTTAAAGGAGTTCAGGTCCACAGTGAGAAGGGATGTAAACAAAGGATATTGTGGTCTCAATAAAAAATCACCCTTTTTAAAACTGCTATTTGCGTTGCAGTTCAAAAGAATCGCCATTGGTACTAAGCTTCGATTTGGAGGTTTTTTTTTTATCAGAACTGTGGCGTGGGATGCAAGGGTTAAGGAAAAAGGACTTCACCCATGCCATAGTTCTGAATCATCTCAGTCCCATCCACAGCTGCTGTTTACAGTTGAAATAATAAACACACACAAGGCCAATCCACACTTCTAAGAAGGCATGCAGTTTGGCATCAACTTTAGTGACAGTTGGATTCTTATGAATTCTTACATTCCTTGTGCCAAGCAGGGAGTCTGAAAATGTTTCCAGTAATGTGTCTTTCTTTTTCAATATGCACATTTTCTCATCTCCAAGAGAACAGAAGACAGTTTTTAGAGTACATATAAAATCCCTGCCATTAGTGCTTCTTAAACTATCTGACTGAATCATAGAAAAGGAGTTGAAAAGGACCACAAGGGCCATCCAGTCCAACTTCTGTCATGCAGGAGACACAATCAAAACACAAATGGTCATCAACCTCTATTTCAAAACTTCTTGAGAAGGAGACTTCACTATAGAGTGTAGTTCACTGTTGAATAGCTTTTGCCATCAGGATGTTTTTCCTAATGTTTAGGTGGAGTTTGAATCTGTTGCTCCATGTTTTAGGGCACATCTTCATTGACACTATAACCTAAAGTGGTCAAGTATTGGCTCTGTGACATTTATATGATGCACAGAGCCATCTAGCCCCCAATGCAGGGCACACTTAACGTTATGGAAAGTTGGGGAAGGTTCCCAAGCTGTCCCACACTTCAGGGTAGTGTAAACAATTGAGCTGATTTTGGTCTGGAATAGACCCTACTAGTCATGTGGGTCAGTGCCCGCATCCTGTGTTGTGTGGCACTTACCTGTGTCATGTTGCCATTGTCATAATGCTGGGCATGGGGCTCCCAATTGTTCCTTTTCATTCCTAGGTGCCTTACCTAATGTATGCAAACACACTCCTACGATTCAGGGAGAAGAGGGGGGATCTATTTCCTCCTTTCTCTCCTGCCCTCTCCAAGTTGCATGGTGGCCTTTGCTTACACTGGTAAAGACATCCACTGGGACAACCAAGAGCCCCTTGGAGCTCCATGTCAATCGCTACAAAAATGACAATACACTGCCCACAGGGGTGGAGCCAGTTTTGGACTCGCTTGCTGCTGCTACTGCAACAAGACAATAGGGAACAGTGTAGCTGCCCCAGGACCAGTCTGGAGTACTGTCACACCGAACTGGCCATGTAGACGGGCCCTTAGTCATGGGAACAACAAAAAACAAGCTTACTTCATCTTCAACATGTCATCCTTTTGAATATTAACTCTGTTGTTTACTCTGGGCTTGGTCCCACATGCAAGCTGCCCTGAGTCCCTTTGGGGAGATAGTGGTGTTGTTGTTGTTGTTTTTATGGCTATCATACCATCTCTTATTATTATTATTTTATTTATTACGCTCGTACCTCGCCTTTCTCACCCCGAAGGGGACTCAGGGTGGCCTCACAAAGGAAAAATTCAATGATATATATATCAGTAAATAAACAAATCAAGTGGCATCATTCTATTATTTGTAGTCATAATTCTATTATTTGTAGTCTCTTACTGCATTGCTTACTGACCAAAAGCGCCCCTCCTATCCTCCTTAGTGCCCCCCTATCAGTCTTCCCCTCAGTTCCATACCTGTTACAATAACCTGTGTTGTTAAATTGTGATTTTAAACTGTTTTCTAATCTGTGTTTTGATAACTGCTTCACTGGGGAGCTGCGTTTCCCTTCTCAGGGTGCTTGTGCCCTGCTTTGTGCTGGTCAGTGACCATAATGAAGTTTTGTATCGTATTGTATTGTACTGATCAAAAGCTTGTTCCCAGAGCCATGGCTTTAGTTTCTTCCCGAAGGTCAGGAGGGAGAGGGGGTGATCTAATTTCACTAGGGATGGAGTTCCATAGATGAGGGGCCACCACTGAGAAGGTTCTTTCTCTCGTCCTCATCAATCATGCTTGCGAGGGGGGGGGTGGAACCGAGAGCAGGGCCTCCCCCGACCATCTTAGCCTCTGAGGTGGGTCATAGAGAGAGATACCTTCAGACAGGTAAGCTGGGCTGGAACCATTTAGGGCTTTATAGGCTAAAGTCGGTACTTTGAATTGTACTTGGTAACAAACTAGCAGTCAGTGGAGCTGGCACAGCAGGAGGGTTGTGTGCTCCCTGTACATAACTCCGGTGAGCAATCTGGCTGCCGCCCATTGTACCAATTGAAGCTTCCGAAGGCAATACATTTTAAGACCACATAGAGCATGTTGGAGTAGTCTATTTGGGATGATCTTAACCTTCTCTTCTCCAGGCTAAACATACCAGACTCCCTAAGACTATCATATCCCATCCGTCTGTGACATGTGGGGCTAACAGTATTTTTTTTTCTGTGCATCAGGAAATAGAACTACATTTGGCCATATTTTTTCCTTCTTTTCTGGACACTCTGCAGGACTGATTGGTAATGGTTCATGGACCAGCATGAGTCTGTGGACCTCCTCTTAAGTAACATTGCCTATGACAGTTTGAAACTAAGAGAACTCCTTTGCTCATGGGGTAATCTTTCCCTTGTGCTGTATATTGTGTCTGCACACATACATCATACAAAAAGAATATTTCTTATCGGCCATTCCAGCTTGTTCAAAAAATATAATTTCATAATTATGCTTCTGAATTACACCTGGAACTCACACCTGAATGTAAAAGGGAATGAGTCTTAAAATGTATTGCTTACAATCAAAAAGCTAAATACAGTTTCATTATTTCCACAGAACAGAAAATGAATTATATGTTGGCACAGAATCATTTGTCTTAGCATTCAACTGCATGACAAATGATGCCACTCTGTCGTAAAACATTTCATTTTGTGTTCTGCTTTTGCCTCAGTAAATATCATAGATAGATCTGACTTAATGCACTAAAGATCAGAAACAACGTCTGTTTCTGCTTTAATTTAATTGAAAAGCTGTAGTACAGGCACAAGTTGTATAAGGCAATTTGCGGTGGGGGAAGGGGTTCCTTCTAAAATGAAGGTTCTCAAAGGGTGAGACAGACTTATACTTACATGCTGCTAGGGCAAGTATAAGCACACATTAAAATGTCTGTATCCTCATCACAATGCAGAATTATAGCACCACAATTCCACATAAACTGCCATAGCAACATCCTATGAAATCCCGGGATTTGCATTTTAGAGAGAGGTATTTAGTATTCTGAGCCAGAGAACTTTATTCCCTCATGAAACTTCAAATCCCAAGATTCCATAGGATGGAACCACAGCAATTAAAATGGAATCATAGCACTGTAACTGTGTATCCAAAGGACCCCTGGCTCCAGCTTTGGTAACTTCTGCCACTGGATTTTTTTATTATCCCATAGTTATTCATTGGGAGACTTGCAGTAACATTTGAAAGTTTTCTGTATCAAGATCATTTTTTTTTTTTCCCCCTTCCTTACAGGAGCGGGAGTTTTTGTAGCCTATCTTTGTTGGGTATGATTGGGGATGTGGTCAACATATGTGGAAAGGAACAAATGGTGGAATGAGGGCACCTAGGCCAGTTATCAGTGGCCTGCTTCATGTTGCAAAAGACTACTACTTGCCAGATTATGGTAATGATTTTTTTCATGTTGCTTTGTTTCTTTTTTGCCCCCTAATAGGAAGCTCAAGCAAACCAATACCTTGCAAAGTACAAGAAACAACAGCATGAGTTGGATGATGCTGAAGAAAGAGCAGAAATAGCAGAATCCCAGGTTAATAAGCTGAGGACCAAGTCAAGAGACATAGGCATGAAAAAGGTATGTCATTTTAATCAGATGAATTTGTTAATCAGATGAATAATCTTGTTGACATTGCCCCCCTGATGTGCAATGGGATGTTGCTGCCAATTGTGAGAGAAATAAGGTCAAAAACTGAGGAAGCCACCACTATATGGCTATCAGCCCCCTCCCAGGAGACTTAAATCGAGGAAACATTTCATGAGAACCACCAGTCCTCTTAATGATTCCCCAGCAACAGTAAGAATATTCCTGTGGGCAGCAAAATCAGGCAATTCCAACTGGATGCCCCCCTAGGAGGATCTCCCTCCAGGGGCAAATCAAGAATGGGTAACTTGGAAGTCTCTGAACAGACTTAGAAGCGGAGTTGGCAGATCAAAAAACAGTTTGTTCTGTTTAGTAAGAATCGTGGGGTTTGAATTTAGATGCAAGGCTGTGGATATAATGTCTGAGTTTTAAAAGTCTTTGACCTTTTCTCCAACCTCAGAGCCACAAATGCTCTTGGGCTGCAATTCCCATTATCCCCAGCCCATATGGTGGATAATCAAAAGTGATGGTAGTTGTTGTTCAATAACATCTGGGGCCCAAACTAGGTAAAAATTAAATAGCACCAACCACTGTGTAAAAATATATATTGTTGGCCCTCTATATCCATGGATTCTCCATCCATTGATTTAATGGCCCTTTGAGAGCAATCATAAGGCTGATGTAACCCTCAGTGAAAATGAATTTGACACCCCTGCACTAGTGTGTTGATTTTTTTTCATGTCAGGAGCAACTTGAGAAACTCAAGTCACTTCTGGTGTGAGAAGTGGCCATCTGCAAGGATGTTGCCCAAGGGACGCCCAGATGTTTTGATGCTTTACCATCCTTGTGGGAGGCTTCTCTCATGTCCTTGCATGGAGAGCTGGAGCTGACAGAGGGAGCTCATCCATGCTCTCCCTGGATTTGAACCTCCGACCTATCGGTCTTCAGTCCTGTCAGCACAAGGGTTTAACCCATTGCGCCACAGGGGCTCTGTTAGTGTGTTGATGATCAGCATTAGCTAGGGTTGAAGGGAATTGTAGGCAGGAGGTTGGACTGAATGGCCCATGTGGTCCCTTCCAACTCTATATTCTATGATTCTATAATTAGATGAAATGTCTCTCCCTCCTCCCCACTGCGCACATTGTAGGCTCTAGGAAACCATTTGACTGTGGGATTTAAAAGTTCTACACCAAAAGCCTATTAACAATATGTTATTTAAGTCTAGGCTAAACTCACTGATGCTTGCCTACTACATATTAATTATCCAAGATAAATGTTTATGCCCCTGTAATGGTGCCTTTGGAAGGACTATAATTTATTAATTCATAAAATTTCAATTTGAGACTGGAAGGGCTGACAATGGATTTTGTTAGGATGTGGATTACACCCGAACACATTTAAAATTGGCAGTTAACATCTTTAGTTTGTGCTGATTTAAATTATTTTGGCAGCTACTATTCATATTTTCTATGTGGTTTTTTTAATCAGCATTATTTCCTCTAATGATGGGTACTGAGAAAAATTGTATTCGCTAATAAAAGCTCCCGAATGAAAGATCCCACAGAACAGTAGAGGCTAAGAAAGAGGACTCTGCTGGCACAGAGCTGATTCGTATGATGCTGTTGTCATGGCCACTATTCTGGGGGCTCTGTGGGGGGATGCTGGAGTGGGAAAGCATGAAGCCTTGCTGCCGGAGTGGAACAGCAGAGCTCCTACTCTCCCAGGATGTCTGTAGCAAGTGCGGTAAAAACACAACCACTTCCTCCGCGGGTGAGGAAAGGGCCTGCAGCTCCTGCAGCTCCTCCTTGTGAGTTTACAACTCTGTAATAAAAGCAACGTTTTATTTCACAATGCAGAGTGGAGGTGGCAAATCTTATCAATTTTTGGAAACTTGGAGGCGGCTAATTCTTAGCCAACTCAAAACATGAAGAAGCTGTGTACAATATATTGTTCCCTTTCTTCCTTTCTTGTAAATATTACAGAACCACACCTGCGAATGAAGAATCATGCTGGCTCAGGTTAAATATCATTCTAGTCCAGCATCCTGTGGACACACATACACAACTGCGAGAAGCCCAGAAAGGAGAATGTGAAGTTTACAGAGTCTGTTTTTCATGTTGACGCCTGACAACTGGCACTGACAGGTGTCGTGTTTCTAATCCTAAAGGGAACCCAGAGCATGCCAGACTCTAGATAGCTCATTAAATAAAAGTTGTCTTATTTTTCCCTGGAAACATATGAGGTGACACAATCCCCATTCCCCCCCCCCCCCAAGCTACACCAAAGCCTTGTTCTAGCAGAGGAATTTGTTCTTCATTTCACCTTTCAAATTTCTATTCCACAATACCATTCAGATTGGGCTGAGGAAATCCATAGAGATAAAATGTGTGTGTGCGTGTTTACTTAACATATCTTGCTACACCAGGCCTCTAGACTTTTTGGAAACCAAGGTTGTTCATAATTAAAAACGTTCTTAATTCCAAATGGCCTGCCCTGCCAACAGCTAATATTTGAAGAGACGTACACTGTGCTTTTTAATAATGTTGAAGATGCTCTAACTTTTATCATTGCAATGCTTGCCAGTTATTAAACCTCTTCCTTCAACACAGCCATATTCCTCCTGCATTATCTTTTGAAGCCTGGCAATCTCTTATTCCTGCCCAGCGCTTTGTATACAATCTCACATTTCCATAGCATCTTGGGCTGCAAATTCTGGGCATCATGCAAAGCAGCAAAGTGTTGATCATTTGTGATAGTGTTTTTATTGATAGAATGGAGATGGGATGCTTCTTAGATATTTTACCTCAGGTGCCAAAATAACTTGGCTGCATTTTGATATTTTCACTTGAGTGAGTTATTGGTGGTTGGAGATTATATTGATCTTCTTTTTTAAGGCAACAAACTTCCTTGAGTTGGGTTGCTTTCTCCCATCTCCCAAAATATGTATTTATTTATTTCTGACATTTATATCCCGTCCTTCTCACCTCCGGTGCGGGGGGTGGGGGGGGAGTGGACTCAGGGCAGCTCACAACTGGCAATCATTAGATGCCACACAAACAATAGTAATAAAATCACAATTAAAACATTAGTTAAAGATATCAATTATAAACATCCATTTAAAAATTTAAAAATCCAAATCCAGAGTCATAATCCAAGGTCTGTCCACTGTCAATCACATAATCATTTACATTATTATTGCTGCATCTGCTGCTCGAATGCGTGATCCCACAACCACGATTTAAGTTTTTTCCTAAAGGATAGGAGAGATGGGAGCATTCGGCTAATCTGCATTCGGCTAATCAGATTAGCATTCGGCTAATCTGTGGCAATTAAATCGAATCTTGGTGACTATGGACAGGAAATATGGACAACGAACTCTGGATTGTGATTTTAACTTGAGATATATGGGATTATTATTGGTGGCCCAATAATTTGTTATTGTATTTGTATATGTTTTTTAAACTGAGATTGTTTTTAAAATGCTGTAAACCGCAATTGAGTCGCCGTTCTAGGCTGAGAAATTAGCGGTATACAAGTGTACCAAATAGAAATAGAATAGATAGAGGGGGTGACCTGATTTCATTAGGGAGTAAGTTCCACAGACAGGGGCCACCACCGAGAAGGCCCTGTCTCTCGTCCCCACCAATTGCACTTGCAAGGATGGCAGGATTTGGACTGACTTGCTGAGATTGTCTTTTTATAGCCTGATTCCCTATATTCTAGTTCACAAAATTTGCCCACATTTGTTTGCTACACCCTTAAACTTGATACAGATATCATATCTGAGTAGAATATGTGTGTAAGGCAGGAATGTCAATTCCATGACGGTAAGCTTCAGCCCTTGAGTTAATGCATGCCAGATTATCAATAATAATATTCACCTTCATTGCACAGAGTTTATAGACATGAAGGTGATTAGAACCATTTCACTTTTTGAGCATCTGCAAGTAATGTCAACTCGCCATTCCATGGTATTGGGATGGTGAATTCACTCAAGGTTTTAGATGAATTTGAAAGGAGCTAACCGTAGTGCTGAACCCTGCCTCTGGAATAGGTTCACCACCTTAGGCCCCTTCTACACTGTCCCAAATCTGATCCCAGGTTATCAGTGTTGAACTGGATTATATGAGTCTCTACTGCCAAATAATCTGGGATAATCCGATCATCTGGGATCGGATCATGGTATATAGGACAATGTAGAAGGAGCCTTAGATAGTCCATTCAAAATTTAGATTAGCACCCTGGATAGATTCCGGCTACCACTGTCTGAATTATTGCAGCCGAATATATATATAAATATTCCACATGTGTTCCTTGCAACATTGAGGAAACATTTTGATTTCATCTTTACCTTGGTTTCATAGGTCCCTCTCCATCACCAGCACACACACACACACACGCAAATCATGCTAGGTAGGTGGTGCCTGGCATGACAGCTCTTTTAATGGATGGACATATTAAGAAACTAAGGGTAAATGGATATCAGGGAGCAGAGTGAGAAACTCATTTTATATAATACCTATATGTTTATTTGATCAATGAATATTTACTCAGAAATAAGTTTCTCTGGTTCAGTGGGTATAAAGGACTGCTGCTATAAGAAGCAATATAATGATTTCTGTTGTACTTCAACTGTGCTATTATCTTTTATAATGCATTTCAGGTCCATGATGAGGAGTGAACGCATTTTACCTTAAATAGCTAGTGGCTGGAATGGTGTTTGCATAGAGAGCATCCGTCTAATGCCGGAGCAGAAGAAAACAGACACCCTGAAAAATAAAGATCAAATCAATATTTAATGTTTGCCTTCTATTTCTTATTGAGTTATATTTTTCCAAGCCCTGATGATAAAATAAGGGAAAATAGCTTCTGTTAAATCTTATATTAATTCTTATTATCTAGTGTCAGAGAAAGAAGACCTGAGTTGGACAGATCCCAAACACATCCCAAGGCTTGAAAATCAAATAATCTTTTATGAATGGAATAGAGTAACTCTACTCAGCATGTGGGCAAGGCAAGCTCTGAAAATCCAGTGGCCTAATATGGTTTTCACATTTCCCAATATCTAAACCAGCAGTTGAGCTTTGGTTTTCTATTTTGTTGGAAAACAAAACAAGGTGCAACATGCCTAGTTGCTACTCCTTGAGGCTTCCTAAAATAAAAATAGCAGGTTTTCCCCACGAAACTTTATTTTTAAAAAGAGGGAGGATTCTCCAGCTTCCAGGGAGGAACTAGGAGCTATTTAAAGACTCTGGGAGTGAATTTTTTTTACAGCACTTATATTCCACCCTTCTCACCCCAAAGGAGATTCAGGGCAGATCAAAGAACACATATACATTCAGTGCTGATTATACAGTGACAAGGCAGACAACAGGCAGAGGTATATTTCTCCTTTTTTTCTCATCATCCGGCATTTTTTGAAGGCTGTGCTCAGTTCTGTCCACAGGGGGTGCTGTCGCTCCATCTCCTTGCCAAAGCCCTTTCTTTGTTCATAAACATTTTCCTCCGATACTGTGCCTAAAATACCTCCCCGCTTAATGTGGTTCCTATTCATCTACTCACATTGGTGTTTTTGATCCACTAGGTAGGCGAGAAGCTGGGCTGAAGGTCAAGAGTTCACCCTGACCCAACTTCAAACTGTCAACCTTTTAGTTGGCAATATTTACTGTAGCTGCAGCTGGTGATTAACCTGCTTTGCTAAAGCCGACCTTAAAAAGGCCATTTGCCAGCAATAAGATTCCCATCCTTGGGTTTAGAGCATAACACTGAAACATTCTGGTACACAAGAACACACATCTATTGCTCACACTGCACTTCTTTGTGTGAGATCAAGGAAAGGGTTTTTCAATTGAAGTCATTTGTTTTGTTGAGGGGACTTATTTATCATGTCAGAAGCAAATTGAGAATGCAGTTCTATTGTATAAAAAACCACAAACAAAGTTAAAAACTGGGCATTATACTCAATTTCCTTTGACCAGAAGCTGGCCACTTGGAGTGCCCCAGGTGATGCTGTGAGAAGGTCCTCCATGGTGCATGTGGCGGGGCTCAGACTGCATTGTAGTAGGTGGTCTGTGGTTTGCTTTTCTCCGCACCTGCATGTTGTGGGCTCCACTTTGTAGCCCCATTTCTTAAGATTGGCTCTGCATCTCATGTGTGCCCAAAAAGGAGTTTCTCATCCAATCTCAGCCACTGATTGAGGTTCCAACAGAACTGGGGGGGGGGGGGGGGGGAGGTGTTCTCCTCCACATAGATTTACAAACCTTCTAAAACTGTGAGGAACTGCAAGTAAGGCAAATGAGGGCATGGAAGCATCTTGTTCTAAAAACAGATTGTGAAACGTTGCCTCCCATCCTAAGTTTCTGATAATACAAGGAATGCCTCATCTCACTTAAAGCAATCACTTCCTGTGAAGCATTTTTAAAAAGCAATCTCAGATAAGATTGGTCTGTCACATTTGTGACCTCAACTGGACTTGTTCAAAGCCTCTTTTCACTCTGGCACTCCATCACGATAAGTTCTCTTGCTGGCAACTCCTCCTTCATGTCCTGGTGAGCTGAGCTTCTGATGTCCTCTGTGTAGAAATCTGCAGTGGAAAAGGAACAGATGTGTGAAATGACAGTATATTACAGGTAGGAAATAACTCAACAGTCATCCAGTTTGCAGAAAACAGATATTAAGATAAATAAATGAGGAATAAATAAATGATGAACTTAATAACAGTGGCTGTTATTAAGCTCATCAGTGCAACCAATTTTATTGCAAAGGAAAAATACAAGGTATTTCCCACTTATTCGTGTCCTTTTGATTGAAGTTTCTCACTGGAGGAAGGGCATAATCTGGGACTGTTAATATATATGCAAAATTGTTAGCATAAATTTCTAACCTTGCAAAGAGAGTTGTTTAGGTCCTAATTACAGCTGGTGAACCAGAATCAATTTACCTTCCTTTCTATTTAGGGGCAGCCTCATTGAATTCACTGGGACTTGAATTTCCCATATGAAACCCTGAAGGAGAATAGAAACCACAGTGTGGGCTGTAAGAAGACAGTGGTTTGTCACGAAGTCCTGGGTAATTGTTTGCCCTGTATGTTGTTTTATCTTGGTAATGAGGGAATTCTCTTCTGACAGATCTTTATCATTTGACTCCAAGGACACTCCTTCGTGATATACAGCCAAGTTGTTGTCAAAGGCTACTGATAGAGGCTCATTAGCTTTATCATGAAGAGTTAAAGAAGTAGCATTGTTGTCATTAGTAATTTGAAACAGGGCGTTTAAGTCAGGTATACTCACAGTTCCCTCCCCAAAGAGTTCATCCATTTTCAGTTGTTTAGAAGTCTTATGATATGTTGTTGATTCGGGGCTACTCCTATTGGTTTTCTGTTCCCCTTTTTAATGAGAAGGAGTGGGAAAACCAAAAAATTTAGAGCCCATTCATATCTTGCCAACGCCATCTTCTCTCCTTGTCGTATAGCAATTTATGTATACAAAAGTATACTTTAATGCTGAATTACTCTACCCTAAGGGGTCACCAAGTCAATGAAGCTTTAGCAACAGTTCCATGTCATAATAGCAAAACTTTCGCAAATGTGTTCCTGAAGGAAAATAAACTCATAGACATAAGTAGGTTCATAGAGTTCGCAGGGAGCCTTCTAAACTGGAGCTGACTCTTTTCAAGGGATACCTGTACATAGCTGTTAGGAAATTCCTGCATTTGATACAGAATTCATGCTTAATCTAGAAGGAAAGCTGTCACCCTCCATTTCAAAGAGCCTGGTCTAATTTGCTCTGTCTCCTGACAAGTACTATGAATCCCTTTTCATTTTGACTGCAAAGCTCACACACAAAAAGAGGTTTGTATGAAACCACACCAAAATAGCTTGCAAGTAGTCAGAGGGTCCAACCTAATGTGAATGGCTCTTTACAGCACATAAAGGATAGGTCCATTCTGTTTACAATATGTAATTTGTGCAGTGAGGCAACAGAGAAAGGAGAAAGGAAAACAAAGGCAGAGCAAGCAGGGAAATGAGCATTTACTGTAATAAAATGTACGCCAATTTAGTTGCAGTAGCAGAAGGGGTCACAGAAAAGGTGGGCTTTGACAAAAGATTTAAAGAGAAAGAAAGAGAGCGAGAAGTGGTGTTTGTTCCAGTACCATTAGTAGGACTAAGACAAGGAAGCATATTTAGCGTTGCATGAAACTATGGCTTGGCAGCTTTAAATGTTCTTCCATATGTTTTGTTAAACATAAATCAGCTATGGTTTCTGACAAGACATGAGGAAGTAATTATATACTAATGATTTCGGATGATTAGTGGCTTCTTAGGAGAGCAACTGACAAAAAAAGAGAAAGGAAGGCAGCTCAGCCTTTAACTTTGGAACATGTAGCCCTGTCACTGAGTTCCATTCTTCCTTGTCACTAGACAAAGTGGCATGAATGCATAATCTGTTTTCCATGGAGGATAGTCTTTTTCATTATCCAAGCTTTGTATTCAAGCACGAGCTGCAATGTTTGCTCCAGCACTCAGCTAGCACTTTGTCACTCTCGGGTTACACGTTTCATGCTGACAACTCATAGACACAGTGGCAAAAACTTATACACGTTGTTCTTAATAATTAACGGTACAGTAATGTATTTAGAACTTAAAACGTCCTGAATACCTCAAAAAAGATGTCGTTTTCTTCTTGTGTGCCTTCAAGTCATTTCTGACTTAATATGACCCTAAGGCAAAACTATTACAGGGTTGGGGTATTGTGTAGTTTCCAGGCTGTATAGCAGGGGTTCCCAACCTGTGGTCCGTCGACCACCAGTGATCCGCAAGAACTAAAATATGGTCCACAACCTCACCTTTACTACACCATTGCAACGAGAATGACTGGTCTCGTGAAATCCTCTTATAGTGGTGAGGCTTATGAAACATGGTTTTCTATTGGTGAGGAGATGGCGGCTACTGGATGGCATATGTTCTGTATCAGAAACTAGAGCTGATGTGGTCTATCCGATGCAATTTTCTGAATCAGTACCCCAAATAACCAAACCGAATGATCCAAAACTGCTTCGTAACCCTTTTGGTACTAATGTTGGAAAGTTATCCCTGGTCAAAGTGGTCCCAAAGATTCAGATCCACTGCTGTAGAGCCATGTTCTAGTAGCATTTTCTCCTAACATTTTGCCTGCATTTATGCCTGGTATCTTCAAATGATCCTCTGAAGATCTCTCAGGAGAAAATGCTTCTAGAATACAGCCATTCAGCCTGGAAATTATACAACACCTTAGTAATTCTAGTCGTGAAAGCCTTTGATAACTCATATTATAGGGTTTTCTGAAGTTGAAAATTGGTTGCTCACCCAAGTTCACTGAGTATGTTTCCATGGCCAACCAAGGACGCAAACACTGGTCTTTGGAGTCATAATCCAATGCTCAAACTATTACACCATGCTGGCTCTCTCTAGAGAAATGTATATATATTTTAATTTTAACATACACCACATTTACTCCATATAAACAACAACTCCTCCTCCTCCTCCTCCTCCTCCTCCTCCTCCTCCTCCTCCTCCTCCTTAGCAGCTTATTCCTTATAAAATTAGTTCAAAAACGTAGCTCAAAATAACCACAACCAATCTCCTAAACTTGACTGCTGCTCATGGGATGAAAGATGACTCTGAAAGACATAGACACTACTCATTCAAAAGGAGTTTCAATACCATCACCATAATGTGGCACAAAATTAAAATGGAGGAAAGCCACCAGGAAGCAACACAGATGACATAGCAGCAAGAACGAGGGTAAGCTCCCTGTATCTT